TGTTATGTTATTATTATTGTCTTGTTGCTGCATTTATTTTGTCAGGGAAAACTAATCCTGAGTCAGTTAAAAGTCAGGGAATTCTGAAATTATGTAAGACTGTGGAAATCCTGTATAAAATAACTATTTATAATGATTCTCTAAAAAAGTCACATTATATTAATAGTATTATCTTTTATAAACATACCGTGACTCTAAAATAAGTTATTCATTTTTGACATTGACTTCTGTCTTGTGATTTATCTTAAGTTTTTAACCTGTCAAGTTTTTTTAGATTTTTAACATTACAATTTATATTTTTCCAAGCACACAACAGTTTAAAGCAAAGTTTAGTATGAAAAGAATGTTCATGAAGGCTTGAAAGCATGTTAACACGGTAATGTAGGCTTGAGTTCATTATCTGACACATGCCTATACACACCAGGAACCTGTGAACTTAGTGAATTACAAAAAAACATTTAAAAAAACAAACATGTTTCATTGATATATATGCAAAAATTAATATTAGGAACTATATTTATCAAACATTATACTGGGCAAGTAAAAATTGTTTCTGGGCAAATGAAATGTGAAAGTCAAGTGGTAAAAGTCCTTAACGTCAACCCCTGTTAACAATATGAAAGCCTCAGAAAGACAGCCAGGAAAGCCCCCAATAGATGTCTGCGCAAACCTCTGGGAATTATTTTAGCAGGTCCATGTAATTGCTGTGAAAATTATGACTTATATGGCTGGATTGGATATCAGCTCCAATATTGACTTATTAGCTGCATCGGATATTGGCTCCTATATCGACAAGTTAGCTGAATCGATTTCAGCTCCTATAATGATTTAGCTGGATCGGATATCGGCTCTGATATCGACTAATTAGCTGCATCGGATACCTGCTTTGATAATGACTAATTAGCTGGATGGGATTTCTGCATTTTAATATTAGATATCCAAGATTCAATCCAGTTCACATGGAACTGTTATTTTATTATTTTTGCTGCTCCATTCTCTCACTCCTGCCTTCCCTCCTGCCCCGATCTGATTTAGGTTATTCTGTTTGTCAATAAAGGTTGTGTTTTTTCAGTTCTCATCTTTAGTAAAACAAAACAGAAGGCAGCCTTTTTCTTTATTTTCGTGGGAAGAGGGAATGTTGACAACACTAGCAACGCTTCCTTTATCACAGCAAGGATCGGCTCAGTCCAAACAAAATGATCCGCTCCTCTACTCTGACTTTGAGCTGCAGAACTAGCTGTTCCTTTTAACCGTCACACTTTCTACACGGTCAACCCGTCATTAATTACACACTAAAATCAGAGAGAGCTTTTCCAGAATGTGAACATTTGTTCACCTTATAATCGTCGCTCATCTTGTAGCCCCCGGATGTTGTTCTCGCCCCTCCCTATTTACCCAGCATGCATCACAGCAGACTTGTCCATTCTTGAGATTGACAGCTGTCCCAGCATGCACTGCGGCAGCAGGAGCTACCAATGGAGCGCTCACAGAGCTCAGAGTATTAAGTTAAAAGTTCTCTTTTCTGTTGCAGTTCAATAAAAGTACTTTTTAAGATCATTTGAGGCGAGAACATTATACCTTAAAGCGTCATTATATGGCCCATTTACTGATTTAATACTTATTTTAAAAGAAACTTTCTGAAGTTGAGAGGACCGCGGCAACCAGCGGACCTCCAAGGCTAACCGCAGCCCGTCTGCAGCAGCCCTCTCTTAGCATAGCCGTGTGCGAACGACCACTGGCTCTGATGGCAATTTTTTTTGTTTTATTTTTTTATCTGATGTTTATCTTACTGTGTTCCTTATTATTCCCCCACTAAATAAAAAAAGTAATCATTTATTATTATTATCTAGAGACTATTGATAACAGGAGGGTAAAAGCAGCTCCAGACGAGCCGAGCGTGTGGTGACGTCAGGAGTACGCTTCTGTTCCAATGGACATATATTTATGCTACTGGCTCCCGTTCTCCCAGAGTCCACACTTTCCTGTGTTCCTCTCAAAAACCTACTTGGCAAGGACACGAGTCAGTGAACTGAGAAACGGCCTGTGTCGTTGCTGAACGTCATGCAGTCAAAATATTGCAGCTCTTTTGGTTTGATTCGGCTGCTCACTAGAGACTGACAATTTTGGGATGGGAGTCGGTATTAGTAACGATCACGTGATTGGGACGGTACAGGATTAAACATTAACGGGAGCAGACGGGAGCGGGAGCACACCAATAGTAACTAAAAAAAACTAGGATCGATGCCAAAAAATAAAATAAAATAGAAAGAAAAATATCTAGTACTGGCGCCGCCATTTTGTAGTTTTTTTCCTTGAAGCCTACACTATAATGCGAGTCAAAAAAACTACACGACCCAAAAACCCACAGTGCTTCCGCTCTGAGTTTTTCACCCGCGCTCAAAAACAACAAGAATGGGAGTGGTGCAGGAGCGGGAGTCATTCTGAATGGGAGCGGGATGGGAGTGGGAGTAATTTCACCAGGAGTGGGACGGGACAGGATTTAGATTTCTACTCTGGGACAGGACACAATTTTTTTCATTGGGAGTGGGACGGGACAGGAGTGAAAATCCACTCCCGTGTCAGTCTCTACTGCTCACTGAAATTCAGTCAGGGATGAAACACTAAGTGTAGCCTATATATGTGCTTAAAAGTGGTTAATAACACTGTTATTGGATAAATAAATATGACGATTAGATATTGATTCTACTTTCTTGTCCAGCTGTACTTTGAACTAACGTGGTTTTACCTTTTCAGTATGTTTCCCCTCTTCCTGATTAGTGGATCTGCTAAAGATTAGAGTCCATTTGTGTTTAACTTTATTCATATTTATCCTGTTGACACCTTTTTTTTAGGGTAGCTCTGGGTTAGAAGCTGATTTTACATGTTGATGTTAGAGATACAGTATAAATGTGACATTAGGCTGACAATGACAGCTGGAGCTCCCGTATGTCATCTCATAAGCACTGATGAATAGCCTCATTAGCCAATGTGCGGTGGGATCAAGTGGCGGGCCGCCGGCGTGCTGTGCCAGCGCTCTAAGCGCCATCGCTCACCATTCTTCCTGCACTTTTGTTTCTGTGTGTTTTCAAGCTTCCTCACCCATTTATTTTTTGTGCCTCTCTGTGTTTTCTCCTTCGCCAGCCGAGGATGATGACGAGTGGGAGAACGGCCTCTCCTACGAGTGTCGCACTCTGCTGTTCAAAGCCATCCACAACCTGCTGGAGCGCTGCCTCATGAACCGCGGCTTTGTACGCCTCGGCAAGTGGTTCGTCAAACCCTACGAGAAGCACGAGAAGCCGATCAACAAGAGGTACGAGAGAAATTCCTCCACCTGTGCTCCTCCTCATTGCTGTTTAAAATCTCTCTGTAATGATTATAGACTATACGGTGATTAACAGTGCCATAGATCATGCTAACGTGTTACTGCTGTACACGGAAGCTACTTAAAGCCTGTTAGTTAGAGCATACTAATGATTTAGTAGCTTCTACAATCATAAGTGCAGGTTATTGAATGACTTTTTAAGCTTTTTCTGTTTAAAATGCTGTTCTTGCCTCAGTTCTGGTGTTTCAGATCAGCTCTGGAATACTCAGTGACCTCTGTGCTGTTAGTGTTTGAATATTAGCCACAGAGGCGCTCCTTCTCCTCGCTATCTGCTGAGCTGGATTTCTTACAGTCCGTGTCTGGGCTTATTGATAACACATGCACTACTTGTCTGACGGCGGCCATGATGGCTTTCCTCTCCTTTTTGTTTGCACTTCCTCTCAACTTCCCCCACAGTGAAGATTCAGATGCTGTGAAAGTTGTTTTTTAGATTGTTCTAGTGAAAATTAAAAGTGCGGGGTTAATGCTTGTGTAAATGTGACAGCAGATGAGAGGGCTTATATGCTGTGACTGAGGGAGCTCCTGTTTAGCTCAGCCTGCATGCATCGGTTGGTTGTTTGAACTCTCTCTTTGGACGTCATGATACACGATGGTCGTAGTGATGGGCTCGTTGCAGGGTATGGAGAGCAAACTGCACAATAAAAATTTTTTTTAATGGTTAAATACTTACGTGGTCATACTTGGCTTGGAAAAAGCATGAGGTTTGATTTATTTCAGAATCATCATGTGACCCCGTAGTTAAATGGAAGGCCAGAAACATCATGAAAAAGAAAAATGAAATGAATTGATGTTGCATTTAGTTTTGATCTAATAAATGATTCTAATAGTAAATATATAGTTACATTTTAAAATTAAATATCACATTAAATAACCAAAATTACATTTAAAATGATGAACTAAATAATAAAATGTTAATAAAATATAAATGTATTTATTTAAAGTGAATCTAATTGCTTTACTAAGCATTTATAAATAATATTTTTTATGGGCTACAGACTGAACTGTTTGGGATCCCCTAATTTATTCCTTTCTTGCTTTTTTTTTAACTATCAGCTGTTTTTCTGCTGTTATGCTTGCTTAGTCTTTAAACTACAGGTTATTTTTAAGCCGATCCCATTACCGAATATTTTGACATCGGTCTAACTGTTCCCAGATTTGTGCTGCTAGTTTCTTCAGACTGATATTGATTTCTCTTCTTCCATTTAAGTGGTTAAAAACCTTACAAATGGTTAGCAAATGGAGGGAGCGGCAACGCAAACCCTTTACATGATGTCAACAATCAAGCAGCCAGCGTCTCTACATACCGGCCGATTTGATACATGCAAAACCGCTCTATCGATCTGTCTCTTAATAAACCTTTCAAATTGTGATTATACCTTACAGCTAATTACTGATTTCAATGTGGAAAACAGATGAATCGAGGTATTAAAATGTGTTAACTGAATTCCTTGTCAAACCACCGAGTAGCGACGGTGGACATGGAGAAACGTTCTGAACCAGATAGATTTTTCCTGTCATTCTCTTGAATGTTGGAGGTTTAAATTCCTTCCCTCCGCTGCTCCTTTACCTTCCCTGTCAGTCTTTAAGTATCCATCCTATGGGTTGATATTAACAATGAGTTTTACCTCCCGGTATGTGGTGTTTTTGTTTCAGGAGGGGGAGGGGGATCGGTCATGTGGTTTTTGTTTGGTCATGTGACGACGATTGTGCTGCAGCTCAAGATAGTGTGTGTTTACCTGAACTGGAGAAGCAATGTTTTCATTGTGTCTTAATGGTAGGGAAATATATGATGTTTGTAAATAATTAAAGTAAAAATCTTAATGTTTGGTTTCCATATCAGTGCATCTATAGTCCTCAGATTTGGGCTCACTGGTGTTTTTGTTCTCTTACCCAGCTTGGGAAAAGTTTGAGTCCTTTAAAGCCAAGTGTATCATATCTGATAAATGAGCTTTTGGGACTTCTGCGTCATCAGTGTGATATTTTTGTTTTTAAAAACCCTGACTTACACAATAAGACGCATTCAGCGAACAGATAATGTGTAAAAGATTCTACAGAAATGCTTACAGTATCAAAATTGATGCAATTAAATGCTCTAGTTTAACTTATTTAAAAAGTATGTTTTTGATTTAATTTGTCAGAAAGTTAATTGACAGTTCTAATCAAAAAGATGTATATATATTTTTCACCGGTCCAGGCTTTAAAGGGTTAATCATAACGTAGCCTGGATTCATCCTCATCTGAAGGAATGTTTGTTATTTTCTTTATGATTTAAGTTTGAAAAATGGGACAAACATTATAATAATAAATTCTAAGCAGCATAGCTTTTTTTTTAACCTGATGTACCGATCAAAAATGGCTCCAGTCCAGGGAAAAAACCAAAAAACAATGGTCTTTTCCTCTCTGTGGAATTCACAGGCCACCCTTTACGCCTCTCCCTCCTCTCTCTTACTCTGCACTTCTCTTCATCCCCCTCTGCTGTCAGAAAGCAGACTGGGCAGGTTTATAAATAGCGATGCAACCACCCTGGATCTCTACTGTTGTTAAGGACCTTTTCGTCTCTCCTTCTGTTTGATCCACTATGACCGCAAATACACTCGGATACTGATAATCAAAGACCACTGAGATGTGATGCATCATTCCCTGTTGACAAATAACAAAACGGGCATCTTTTCCTGTTTGCTCAGGGAGACACTTTTATTTAACAGTTGAAATCTGTTTATGTAGCCTTAGAATTAGTAGCTCTAAGGCCAGGAGCCTGTTTTGGGTTGTTCTGGGAAGCTTTGATACAAAACCGCAGGTTGCCATCTTTGAGGGCTGCAACTGTTTAGAGAAATGATTCATAACATTTAGAGGATGTTTGGCTTCACCTGCTGCTGTGAAGCAGGATTCTCCACCATGAAGAGAATCAAAAATAAATCTGGATCCAGGCTCAAAATGAGCTCCTTGATATGTGCTTTAGAATGGCTTTGTCTTCATTCAAACCCAGATTAAAACCCTTGTAGGGCAGCATTAAGCCCACTGCTCTCTTTAATACAGAAAAAAGAAAGAATCAACACAAACAAATGGTCATTTCATCCACCAGGTGATTTAAAACCACCGTATGGAGACTGTATTTGTATTTGAGACTGCCTAATGTAGTTTTCTCATCACTTCACCTCCATGCATTGTGTTTGCCTCTTGTTGCAGAGCAGTCTAGGAACTGTTTTGCATCGGCTTCTTTAAAACAGTTTGGACCGTGCTTCAAAAGGCACGTCTCTGTTGGAGTTCAACCACAAACTTTGAGAATTTGTTTTCAGTATTAAAATCTTGGGAGCCATGCAAACTTTAGATGTTATAAACAAAATCTCTCTGTTGGGGAAATCCCACAGTCTTCAAGGTCTAATTTCCTGTTCCTGGGTGATTTTTAAGAATCCAAATATCTCTCTCTATGTCTGAATAGGTTTTTTTTCCCCTGTAAAAATCGATATATTTTTAAACTAATGCTTAAACTGAACATAAACTGAGAGTGATCTATTGGCCAGTTTCAACAGAACGGCTCTCAGTTCTAAGAAGGGCCAACAGACTTGAGAAAAAAACATTTTAAGAGGGAAATCTATTTTTGAGAAAATGTTTTTCTCTGATTTAAAGAAAAAAAATATTTTTTGTCCCTAAAAAAATCACTTTCCAAATATTTATCTTTTATTTTTTCTGTGACAAATATTTTCTCTCAAAACTTTTTCTTCAGTCTTAAATAACAGCGTGGAAATTTTTTCTCTCCAATGTATTTATGTGTTTTCAGGCCTTCACCTGAAAGATAGAAACACTTAGTGCAGTAGTTATACCAACATTTTTATATAATATCTATTCATTTATCATTTAACCTCTTAACATCCACCTCATTTTGGGAAATTCTCGCCTATTTTGCATCCCAAATGGAAAATTAAATAACTTAGGAACTGTAAGCCCAAATTACATGTGCGACACGTATTTTGAAAGCTTAAACTTTCTAGTTTCTGAATATATAAATAAAAACACAGCCGCATCAGTACAAACATGACTGAAAGTCGTTTTTTCCCCCTCGGAAAATAACAGGTCTTTTCTGAACAGCAGTAATACAGACATGATGTCTAACATGTCTACATTGGTAAACATTTTACTGGTGTAAAATTTTCATGCATTCTGAGATATTAGATGTAAACGCTTTAAAACGGGTTGCTGGCAACCCGCTGGGTTTTGAGAGGTTAAGAAAGAAAGAAATATTTTTGTCTGTCAAAATGCTCTATAGAGATGTACTCCATTAGAAAACTTTAGTTTCACCTGGTTTAATTTCATAAAAACAAAAGTTTCTTTAAGGAACCTTTGGCTATCCGATTATTAAGCGACTAATCTAAAAAATTATCGACAGATTCATCAATTTGCAAGATAATCATCAGTTGCAGTCCTATCAAAATAAATTTCCCCCTGCAGATTGCTTTTTTTCTCCATAAATTTAATAAAAGCTCAAAAATAAATGGGAACCAGCAGGAGGAAAACATTGGACCACCCCCCCTGCTGCTGCTCTGCCTCCTCCTGTTCAGCATCCAAAGCAGCCAGTTGGTGGAGGCTGAAGTCCTCTGACAGCACTCATAACCTCAACCCCAGACCTCAGCCTGCCTGATGAGCCTTACATCATCTCTCTGTCCTCCCCTCCCATCCTTTCTGTTTAAGCCTGATGCCTTTATCAGCAGCAGGCATCTAAAGAGACCAAAGCGGTTCAAATAAATCTCGTTAAAAGCAGAGTTAGCTCCTACTTGATTCAAGGAATCTGCTATGAGCTCAGTCTTTTATTGCTCTGGTAGAAAAATGAAAACAAGAATTTCAATGTTTTGAAACCCTCCTGTAAGCCTTTATTTTTTCACGCCAACTGTAGGCAGCGACTGTTGATGCAGCTGCAGGTTCATCTCTTTGTC